GTGTTCTTTGAAGGCATAAATGATGAGGCTTCACCTCCCATACTTTGGACATCTTGCTATTCCTTGTGAAAGGACACGAGGCTGGGAAGGGTGGAGGGATGATGGAGGAAAGGAAGATCCTCAACTAGATGGACTGACACGACGACCGCTACAATGGTCGCTTGTGTCTCAGGAAGTGTGAAGATGGCACAGGATAGAGCAGGGTTCAGATCTTTTGTTCGTAGGATCTCTATGAGTTGCACTCAAGTTGATGGCACCTAACAACAACAACAATATGGAAAATACCTATTTATTGAATTAATTTGCATTTAATTGTCTTCTCTTCTTTGGTGCTTTTGAATAGAGTATGACTCATAGCAAACCTTTGAACAGGAGATTGAACCCTATCCCATCTTGTGCCATTTTTATAATTTCTGACACAATTTATCTCCTTGCTGTAGTCACTCTGTAAATACACTTCCTCTCTTTATAACCCTCCACCTTTCTAAATATGATGTCACTTTCTAAGGAATAGCCTTTCCTAATAATATGCCCAATGTATGTGAAACGAAGCTTTTTCATCTTTGCCTACAAGGAACGTTTTGGCTGCACTACAAGATATACCTGTTTGTTCTCAAGGCAGTTCATGGGATATTCAGTTCTCTTCTCCAACATCACAGCTCAAAGACATAAATTCTTTTCCTCTTATTCTTATTTATTATGTACCATAGAGCTAGAACTGACTTATTGTTGACCCAGAACTGATTATTCAGGAAGGAAAGAAGTTGCTTGTGTTTCTATTTTTATGGTAATTTTAATACACTTCACTAAAATTTAATACATTTCACAATTATAGTAATCAATTATTCTTTAGTCTTTTAGCTAACTCACTGTCCAATATTCACATACATATGCAGCAATTTAAAATACTGTGGCTTGGTAGAACCAAGAGGTTCCATTATAGAACCTCTATATAGAACCAGAGCTTAACTGGATCATTGCTGATCTTGTTATATATCATTGAGTTAGAACATAATCATAGTTGATTTTTAATTATTATTTTGGAAGAAAAAAAGTTGCTGAGATTTATAAAGGGAGTAGATGCAGTCAATGTGGCTTATTATGACTTTCACTCATACCATAAAGGGGACCTGTGCCCATCAATATTACCCATAGTAGCAAATAGATACCTCTTTCTATCAGTAATTTGGGTCCAAAATTCATTGTTGACTCACACACTCTACTCATAGTTGTGGAGTTTATTAGGGAAATAAATTGGAGAGTGGAGGAGACAAAGAATATTACCCAATGTAAGTCCAGGTTTAGTTAAACAGTCCCAACCCAGATTAAGAGCAAAACAAAATTTCTCAATTAGTAAAAGTCCTGGTTAATTTCAGTAGCACAAGTCCAAATCATCCAGGACATGTTGTTTAACAGCATTTTAAAATCAGCTTTCCTGCAATCATCTGGCAAGTAAAGCTGTTTTAAATGTTGTTGTTGTTGTTGTTATGTGCCGTCGAGTCGCCTGCGACCCTATGTACAACAGCC